GCTTTTGGGTGGGTGGGCCTTTTTTTTTGTCCCCCCCCCCCCCCCCCCTTTTTTTTTTTGAGGTTCAGTTCACATTTGCCTTCCTCCACTTTGCAGCCAGTCATGAACTACAACCCGTGGATGCTCCTCTACTTCATCTCCTTCTTGCTGATCGTGGCCTTCTTCGTCCTCAACATGTTTGTGGGGGTGGTGGTGGAGAATTTCCACAAGTGTCGGCAGCACCAGGAGGAGGAAGAAGCCAAGAGGCGGGAGGAGAAGAGGCTTCGCCGGCTGGAGAAAAAGAGAAGGAGTAAGGAGAAACAGATGGCTGGTCGGTAGTCTTTCCACATCTTTCTGAGTCCTGCTTGACCTTCCACACGATCCCCTCCTCCCTCCCCTCCCTGCCTCACGCCTGGTGATCCTTCTTCTCCCAAAAGCATGTCTAGCTATAAAATTTGCATGAAGGAAATAGTGTCGTTTTAGGCTGAGCAAGGAGCCATGGAAGCCTTTTTAATGGCTGCATGATTTGCAATGACTTTTCCATTGGAGGTTATTTGAATTAAAATATAAGAATAATCAGACCTGGAGCTTCTTGGATAGCAGAGCTCAGTGTTACACAAATAGTGACAACTGCAAAGATCAGCAGCGCCGGATGGCACCATAAATCTTCTGAGTCATGAGCACTGTTGCTGATAACTGGATTCACTATTTGGTTTATTACAGCCTTGTAATGCCACAGTGATGTTACCTGTCCCATTTATCAAACAGGTTTATTTATTGGCACAGTAGCACCACTGCTATTCAAGAGTGTAATAAAATAATGGAGCCATCTCATTCTAGTAATGCTTAAAAACTCCTTAGAGAAACATATCAATGCATTTGCTTGAGAAATACAGATTAGAAAAAAAAAAAGCAGTTGAGGAGAGTAACTAACTAGACAAAATAGCACTGATGCAAATTGAACCAAACTCCAAACTGGATGTGCAAGCTTGCAGCCCTGCCTAGAGAAGGCTTTACAGGTGAAAGGAGGCTAGACCTCTGCTCTGCCGAGTCTCCAACCTGACATTGTCTTTTAGTCTTTTTTTCTTTTAATTTGGTTGAATAAGAAATAAGTCAGCCAGAGGCCACAGGTCGGAGGTACTCTTCTTCTCGCATGCTCTCTTTTCTGACTGAACTTTCTCCGTTGCCCTTCGTGTCCATGGCCTCACGCTTTCCCTCCCTGGTCAGTCCGCCTGCTGCTCTCTCCGTGTCCCCTTTCACGTCTCTCCTCTATCTTTGACAGACTTCAGTACTGTTTAAGAAGCTGTCTGATCAGGCGCTTGTTCCAAAAGCTGGTAATATTAAGGCTGTTTTATTATTTTTAATAGTCTAAGAGGTGTTTAATAGCTGCGACAGGCTTAATCGTGCAACCACGTACCACAACGGTGTCTCAGCCTCTCTCAGTTCAGCACTTACCCAGCACTTGCCTTTGGTCACATCTTTATGAGCTTCACAGGTTTTGTAACCAATAGGATGTATCACACCAGCCTCTGGACATCAAACTTTGGTTTATGCCGAGAGCCTGGCTTCCTCAGTGGTCAGTGGAAAGACGGAAGCTTCCCTCAAGAGCAGTGGAGGACACGTTAGACTGTTCTCAGTTAAGTGGGATACAGGTGGAAAGAATATTTTTTTGTTGTTTTTCACATCAAGGAAATGCCTAGAAAGCTTTTTTGGTCAGTCCAAGTTCCCAAACGGAGTTTCAGGCTGATGAGTTAGAAAATGTTTTTAAAGGCTGGATAGAAAGATCCCTATTTAAAGTTGCAGTTTTGGAAAGCAGACAATTCTGTAGAAGAAAAATAGATGTTTAGTTATTATTAATGACCTTATTTATAATGCTAGAGGAACTAGGTGAAGAAGAGATGCAAGTCTGGGCAATTTCCCAGCGGGAAGAAATCACAAACCATCCTTGGAGATATAGTTGTTCATTCAGTCCTATGAAATGCCTAATTAAAGAGGCAATAAACAGCTATTTTACTGAGGATCAAATATTGCTGAGTATTCAATCACCATAAAAACCTTTCAAGAGCAAAGTATGAAGCCCTCCAAATCGCTTCAGAACAGTTTTCCCAATTTGCGTTCAGTGAAACGTTGGTTTTAATTGACCGTGTCCAGCTTTGCCCTCGGAGGCAACAGATGTCATTGCTTAGCTTCATTCTGCGTGGTGGGAACTTGCAGATGATACCAAGACTAGGGCTTTGATTATGCCAGTGACTGCATGGGGGTTCCTTTCAGCTGGGCTTCCTGAGTGTCCCCAGATGCCCAAACCAACATGTCAGACATAGACAGACTAACTGGTTGCACGGTCATTTTTGATCATAGACTCTTCAAATGCATTTACCCAATTGGACATCTGAAAACCAGAAAAGCATGTGAGGTCCCAGCTCGGTGAGATGTAGGCAGATGCAGGAGTCATCGCTGTAAGTTGCGCTGGCCCAGCAGGACATGTACAAAGTCCATCCTTCAGAAGTGTCTTCTCCTTCATCACCGTCAAGCAAGGGGGTTCTCAGGGATCTCTTGGGCTTCCACCTGTGTACGTGGGAGAAGCACAAGAGCCCTTCCTTTTTCACGATGAGCCCGCGTACCTGACTCCAGCCTCCATGAGGCACAAGGAGAGGATCCCGCAAGGAAACATTCCCAGTAGAGGCACTGGAGAGCCTGAGAGCCGTAGGGACCTCTGAAGGGGAAGGGAAGTCTTGCCGTGTGTCCTGCCGGATGATTAATGCCGTTTCGTTCTTTTAGATCTAATGCTGGATGATGTATTAATGGAGAGCTCAGCCAGTGCAGTGCAAGGTACTGGGAAGTCGGCACGTCTCGTCCCACTTGAATGGCAGTGCTGTGTCACTAACGGCTGGCCACCGCTGCTGTGAGGCATCCCACTAAACCGTGTGTGTGGTGCAAAGCTCTTTTGCTTACTTCATGGCACACGCATATCATTCTGAACTGCAGGTCTGCAGACCTGGCTCAGGACTGACACTTGCAAACCCTTAATTTACCCCTCGATCATGTTATGTTCTTCAGTATTACTTTTTTTCTGGTTTTCATTAAGACACTGTCAGACTTTTCATGGCTTTTTTTTTTTTTTCCTCCTTTTTTTGTTTTTGTTCTTATTTTTTCTTAGAGAATAATGACTGGACTGTGAAATGGGTCCTTTATTGTTTACTCTAGCTTTCCAACCACCAACTTAGGAGTCTCTGAATAATTTGCAAGAGTGTCTCTGGAAGGCAGGCAGTCTCGCTTAGGGAGGTTATTTCATTATATCTCCAGCCCTTGCTCAGTGCTAGAGAACGCTGTGCTTCAGGGAGGCACAGTGTTTTTTCAGCAGGGTAAAATTCAGTATAGTGCAGAGCCTCAGTGCTTCAACGGAGAGGTCAACCCCACACCAACCCTCAGCGTGGACATGGGGTTTAGCCGTTGTGCTGCCCAGCTTGTAAATTCTTCATATTGATTGAGAGTTGCTCGATCCATGATGCATCTTGTGAATTAAAAGCAAGAAAGATGCCACCACAAAGCCTCTCCAGGTGCCGGTGGGGATGGACCAGCTGGGCTGAACACGGCTGGGGGTTTGACCTGGCCGTCCTGACCAGGGCTCGCTCACGTCTCTCTTTCCCGTCCCCCCTCACCAGCTCAGGGCTGCAGATCTGTCCCTTGCTCTTTTTATTTTTAGGAGAAGCTTTGATCTGGCAAGCATTTTGTTTAATTCATAACTTAAGAATATTAGCCTGAATAATTAAAGAGGTGCCAACATAGAAACAAATACAGCTGCAATTTTCGACAAAAATAATAAGCTAGGAAAATTGTGCCATTAAAACTCTCACCTGTGACCAAGCCCCCACTGCTTGAGATGGGAGCAGGGCTCCATCCACCTCTCACATATTGCAGGGAGTTTTGATTAAATAAAAATTGCAAGGTGAGGGCTATCGGCTTTCACTGCAGAGGATAACTCAGGGAGATCAAGGTTCCTACCTTATATTTCTAAGATCTTGTTGGGAGTTATCACAACATGCTTTAATAAATCCTGAATCTCCTTCCCATTGCCATTCCTGGTATTTTTATTTCTTTGCCTTCATTCTTGCTCTTTTTGGTAGGCCTCCTGTCCTCTCCTGCGAACCAGGGGCGGCACGAGGGGGGGTGTTGTCACTGGGTTTGGGGGTCTGTTTATTTTTTCTTCTTTTTATTTGGTTGTGACTCCTCTCCTGGTCCTACAGAGCTACATCAAGGCTGTCGTATTTTATTTTGTTTTTAAGGCATTGAACTTATTCCAAACCCCTCCATTATCCCGCGCAGGCTCAGAAAGACTCTTAGAGTTTGCCTTTAAAAGATGTGCAATTGTCAGGTCTGTGCTTTGTGTTTCCTTTTGTTGTCTTTTCTTTGGGTCCAGTGGTAGTGAATGTGCCATGCTGCTCTTCAGGCACCGGCGTGAGGGAATAGAAAGGTTTTATTTCTGAACCTGACTGTTGGGGACATTAGGGAATCAGTCCTGGGTGCTGCAGATGAACCTCCTGTGGTTCAATGAGAAATGTGGAGTTGTGACCCCAAAGCTTCCACACATCTCTGCACTTACAGAGGGCTTCTTTCCTCTCTCTCTGAAGATAAGATGGAGTAGTGTGTGTGTGTGTGTGTGTGTGTGTGTGTGTGTGTGTGTGTGTGTGTGTGTGTGTGTGTGTGTGTGTGTGTGTGTGTGTGTGTGTGTGTGTGTGTGTGTGTGTGTGTGTGTGTGTGTGTGTGTGTGTGTGTGTGTGTGTGCTGCTGCCTGGTGCTTAGTGAGATATTATAATTTTATTTTTGCCTTTTTTTTTTCGAGTCTACATTCTATCACAACTGGAATCTTCTCAGTGGAAATAATTTATCATTTTCCATTTTGCTTTTTTTTTTTTTAATAAATCCATTCAGTACAATAAAAGCCAAGTAAAACGCTGTGTTTAAAAAAAGTTCCTTCAGTGCAAACTACTTTTTAACCTAATAATATTCTTGATACAGTTTGTAAATCCAGCTGCGTCACGGGCTCATTGCTCACTGGTTTGCCGCTGTCCTCCAGATATATTCAGACCTGCAAAGTAGTTAATTCCCTTATTATAGGAGAAGGAAGAAGCTGGAGACAGTAATGGAATTGTCCCACTCTCATGAATTCCAATTTCCTGTGCCCACACACCTCCGTCTCGAAAGCCACCTCGGGGAAAGTGGCAATTTCTCTCTTGACAGGGCTATATTCGGAGGCAGCCGCTGTCCGGAGACATGCCCAGCCTGACTCCCCCCAAGAAAATGCAGTTAATGGGAAGAGAGTGGCCCGGCCCCATCTCCCGCGGTGCCGGCAGAGGCCGGCTGAGCCCCGGGACCCTCTGGGAGCTGGCGGTGGCACTGCCCGGCAAAACCAGGGGTGCCTCCAGCGCTGCTTTGCTGGTCGCTGGTGCCATTTCACGGGTCATGTCCCAGAGCTGCCAGACGAACAGCGGCATGGGGCTTAATGCCCCAAACCTGGGGTGTGATTGCTGAAGCCGAAGGGAGAAGTTAGAGCAGGCTTAGGAATGGGGAATGTTTCTCCTGCAACAGCAATGGTCACTGCCTTTCCAAACGGGCAGGAGAGGACGGCGATGAGTTTGGCTACCCCAGGGCACAGGCTGGGGCTGCCGTGCTCTGCCTCCCAGCCCTTGTCAAGGGGATCAATTATAATCCCACGGGACGATGCCAAGAGGAGTACGGAATGTCTGCTTGGGAAACAACTTGAGTTGAGAGCCCATGAAAAATGATAAATTAAAACCGAGTGTCCCCCTGCCAGGCACCCGCTCCCCTTGCCGGCACGGTCCCCTTAGACCACCATCGCCCAGGATGAGCGGGCAAGTGGGACTCTCCCAAACCAGCTCTCAACCAGCTGCGAATCTCCTTCCTACCTGGGTGAGGAGGAGGTTGCTCAGAATCCACTGTCTGAGCTGATTTTCTCCAGTGTAACGACATCTAAATTTTAGCCACTTCTCCCTCTCCCCTACTCCTGGCCTCCAGTCACGGTGAAGCAGCTTGATTTACACCCTGTTTACCAGCCTGATGTCTCGTAGTGGGCTTTTGCTGTTATTTCCCCATCTTCTCACATTCTCATTCTGCCAATTCTTCTTTTGTTCGTTTGCTCTCCTCCTCTTTCCTTTAACGCCATGTGTGCCGGGAAGCCAAGTTAACCTTTCCAGTAATAACCGAGACTAACCCAGAGCTCTTGTTGTTCTTGACACAGTGTATTGTAACAGTACAGTAATGTGGTGTTGTGTTAGTTGTGAAGTTCACCACCTGGAGTTTAACAGATGTCTGTATTTCCCAAGATGTTGGTATTGTTTAGATCTTTCCTGCAATAATTAGAAATGATACTGTGTGGTAGGGGGCACGGGCTTTGCACTTGGATGATTACGCATGAGCAACACCCGACTTCGCTGCAGAACTGCGCAGGTCGGGTTAAATAAACAGTATTTATACGATAGCAAGAAAATGGTTTATCTGTTCAGAAAGTTCCCTGCCCGCCTAGACACAGTATCTAGAGTCCTCGGACAGCATGCCAGCTCGTGTGTGGTTCATCTCACGGTAGTATCTGTATTGCACGAATATGCATGGCCAGCATGCGGCAACCGGCGCGGTGAGTGGTGGCATGATTCATGAACAGGGTTGACAAATCCCCTCTTAACAAAGTTAACGGGGAAGGATGAAATATTTACTAATGGTAATCTTCTAAGGCTGCAAGCGCATCTGCAACAGCAGCATCCAGAGACGTTTGGCTGAGGAAACCTGGGGGCGTGTGCTGGGAAAGGTGAAAAGGAGCTTTGGCGTTTGGGAGAGGGGGGATGCGAAGGGGGAGAGCCTTGGCAGACACACGAACAATTAGCAACCCTGCTTATAAAGCCATGCACTGGCTAATCCAGGTGCAGGAGCCCTGCACGGGAGACATTTTACAACCTCTCTCTAAATCCTCTCTCTGTTCTAACGGCGCCGGTGCTATTCTGTAGGATTTGGAATTACCTGTCAATCAAAGCTAAGAAAAATTTGAATTCCAGTGTAATTATTCATAAGTAAATCCACTGCAAGAAAAGGCAGAAACATTGACGTTTTTCTTTTTGAATGTGAATTATACATAAATGTAGAAGAAGTAAGTGATCCAATTACGATGGTGTTTCTTTCTGAGATGATAAGTTGGTTCATAAAAATAGGTCCTATTCCTAACCTAATTGTATTCAAACATTTTAGTTAATTTGCTACTCATAATTTAGCATAATATGATCGAGATATCTTGACTTTATGGAGATTTATGCAGATTCTGAGATATCTGACAAAGTCTTATGAGTGAGTCAGCAGCTACCAGTCTGCTTTTTTGTAAGCACTCAATAGCTTCAGCATGAAAATTCATTTTATAGACCTTTTCATCGATATCGTGCTTTAGCACTCAGGTACAGATCACCTAAAGCACGCTGCAGATCAGAAAGTGAATATTAATAGCGCCTTTCGTTTGGTGACACTGAAGCAGAATTTTGGGCATTCCAAACCCCTACAGAATAAAACTGCTGAGTGATTTGTCTCTCTGGTCCCTGGGCTGTAAGGGAAAGGTCTGTCTCTATGGAACAAACAAAACTTCTCTGATTTTTCATGATCCTGTTGCGAAACAGGGAGCGCATGAAACCATTAAATCTATGGGTTTGATTGCAATATCATTGGCTATTGACAAAGCGAATTCTATTTCCAGGCAAAATTTAATCTTCTAAAATTAGTTTTCCCTGAGGGCACCCCAAACCTGTGCTTCGTGGCTTCATTCTGCCCAACTTTTTGCTTGGAGTAATGTATCAAACTGTACATTTGCTCAGCGGCACTAAATATCAAGCCATATAATTCTTACAGCTCAATAATTTTCATAACCAGTTGATCATCTAATTATGAGAGTAATATTATACTCTGACATATTCAAGACAGTCCTTTCCACTTCAATCTGCATTATAATGCCTCCTTGAGAATTGTACTGAATTATATACTCAGCCTTGGCATTTCCTCATTAGAGATTAGGTGAGTAAATGAGTTTATCTCTAGGAACATTCGGGGTCTGAAGAGCATGTGTCATCCCTGAGGCAGCCGAACACGGGAATGAGTTGAACAGTGAAATCTGTACTTTGATAATCTTGTCTAAATGGAGGATCATTATTTTCTAATCGCTAAGGCTGACTGATCAGTTTTCCTTGGTATTTTTATGGACCATTTTTCAGGGCTCTGTCAGCCAAAGTGTTGAATTTTGTTCTCTCTGCAGTTTACTGCAAAGAGCGTAATTTTTTTAAGCCGTTGTTAGTAAAATCTGTCCCCACTATCTGACCATTAATTGGACTTTTGGATACTTTGGGGAGTTTTAAAATCAGCAGAAACAAAAATTGTTGTTTTAATTTAAATTTAATTTA